CGTACAGATTCTTGGTGAATCATTTTTTTTGCGTTTTTATTCCCCTAGGAGGTGGACTTTAGGGAAAAGTTCGAAAATTAAAGTGGTAAATTCTTTTACATATTTTTGGTTTCCAAAATTGGTATTCTCGGTAAAATTCAGCTTGTTCGTATGATTTTTAGGGGTCAAATCTCTGATAAACTATAAAGGAACTATAAAGTGATTTCATAAAATAATTAAATAAACAATTAGTAAATTTTCCAAAAAAATTATCATTTGCTAATCTCTATTATGCACTAAACGTTTAATTGACATATTCTTCTTCAAGTGCCATCTCCGCGGCGGAGGTCGGCAATGATCATGGCTATTCGGCCTTTTGAGATAACTGCTCTGAAAAGTTCATTTGATGTACATCCGTACCACTCACTCAGGTTGCTCAGCCATGACATTCTACGCCTTCCTATGCTTCTCTTTCCTTGAATCTTTTCCTGCATAATAAGTTGGAGCAAGGCGTATTTCTCCCCACGTTTAATATGTCTGAGATATTCCAGTTTACTTGTTTTAATTGTATCTAAAATTATTCATCCTTCTCAGAACCTCTTTGTTTGTGACGTGTTCTGTCCACGATATTTTCAGAATTCTTCTATACACCCACAGCTCGAATGATTCCAGTTTTTTCATTGATGTCGCATTCAAAGTCCAAGATTCCATTCCATAAAATGAAGTCGAAAAAACATAGCACCTCGCCAAGCTAACTCTTAGTTCTAATTTTAAATTCATTGTACATAGCACTCTTCTCATTTTTTCAATCATCAATTTTGTCTTCTTGACATTCATTGTTAGACCATACTCTTTTTCATACTTCGCTATTCTGGTCATCAGTCTCTGAAGATCTTCAATATTTTCGGCAGTGTCGTCCGCATATCTAATGTTGTTAATGGGAACTCCATTTACCTTTATTCCAGCTGTTTCACCCTCACGAGCGTTTTTCAGGATCTCTTCGGAGTAGGCATTCAAAAGAATTGGCGACAATACGCATCCCTGTCTCACTCCACATCTAATTTTAATTTCTTCTGACAGCTATTCGTTAACACATACTTTTGCTCTCTGTTTACAGTATAAATTTGATATGATCCTGAGGTCGCTGTAGTCAATCTTCTTTGATTTTAGGACATTCATTAATTGTTTATGTCGTACTTTATCGAATGCTGTATTATAGTCAATAAAATACGCGTATATATCCTGATTGACATCCAGGCAACTTTGTATCAGTATATTAAGTGAAAAAAGAGCTTCACGCGTTTTCGGGCCTTTGCGAAAACCAAATTGTGTATCATTTATGTCCAGTTTGTGATAAATTCGGTTATGGATGACTTTTAGTACTAACATAGGCACATGAAACATCTAGCTAATGGTGCGGTAATCGCTGCACTCTCTTGCGTTTTTCTTTTTGGGAGACAAATAAAAATCGACGTTAATCACTCTTTGGGTAATACGCCTGAACTACAAATTTGGTTCAAGAGTGTCACTAAAACATCAATGTGCTTCTTATCTAGAATTTTTAGGAGTTCTATAGGAATCATGGACTTTTTCCACTCTTCATTGTTTTTAATGCGTGTAATATTTCTTCTTTTGTAGTATATGGACCTATTTCTTCTGACGTAAGTTCTATGTGCTCAAGATCTTCACTTTTATCACCGAACAATTGATCGATATATTCTTATTATATTGAGAATTGAAAATCATATTGAAATACCTGCGTTTAAAATCAAATTTATCACTTGGATCGTTTAAAAAAAAATCAGCATGAGTTTAGAGTGTATTCAAAGAAGTATAGCGTTTTATTTGTGGTTAAAGATTGGAGGTAAGTAAGCTAATAGACCCGAAACACACAAAAAAGGATACATGGATTAACTATCTACAGAAGCTGCAGACAGAGAGGCAATGAAAAAACCTGAAAAGCTGAAGAATAGAAAAGCTGCAGGTAGATATAAGTTATTAAATGAAGTTTTGTAGTAGTCGAGAGTTATAAGAGGGTGATCAAAATACCATCAAATAAATCACCAAAAGGTATAAGTATAGGCACAAAAGTGATAACCTTTCTTTGAGTTATTAATCCGCCAACTAAAAAGCAGTTTTGTATCGACAAGAACAAGAAAAAGGTTTAATTAAATAAAAGTTTCTCTTGTAATTTAGTTACATTTAATTACCATTTATATCGTGCGTTAATTTTATTTTATAAACTTATATGAAAGATAATCTATATCGTAGTTAATATCAGTCGTAACGCCACTGCACTGACACAACCATTATACGAGGATTAAAGCGAAATCACAAGAGAGCGCGACCTAAACGTCCTTAGCTCCGGCATTGTTTCGGACCGAGTCGTTTGGAAAAACGAATAAATATCTCCGAGATACCAAGATACTTCTGCCATGCCGACTAATTCCACGCGATGTGCCATAAGACTATTAAAACTCTAAACGCAATGCGAACCGAGCTTTCATTATTTGTAATCTAACGGGACTTATGGAAAAAGTTTCCATTTATTTTTAATTCCCTATATTCCACCCTTTTATTGAAAGCCGAGGACGACGTCTTACCTAAGGCCTTCAGTAAACCCTCTCCGTTGTAGAGTTACAGACTTTTAAGTGCGCCAAACCGTGCCAAATTAAAAATACCTCTGCTTTGCAAAATGAATTCCTTTCAAAACGAGTTACACTTCTTTCCATTCTTTCCATTTTTCAACTAAATTAACTCACGCCATTTCTAAATTGATACACACCTTTCAATACTTCTTTGCTTGAGTTACTCTTAGGTCCTAAGTGCTAAGATTAGAGAAAAAAAATACAGTACGAAGTGATTTTACTATAATTTTCAGTTAATTACATTTATACACGGCCTTCTAGTAGCTCCTAAATTAGAAAATAGGGGTGAAAATGTTCAAAAACGTCGATTTTTAATCTAAGATTGTTTATATAATAAGAACAATAAAAATCTATAAAAACAGTGTATAAACAGTGTAAAACTCTATAAAAAATATCCAATATTATGAGAAGTTAATTTCCTAAAAAAATAGTAGGATGGTAACACCAGACTGGTTTCAGATGTGGTAAATCGACAATTCATCAGCTTGCAAACTTGAAATAAATTTTAGAAAACACAATGGAATATGGCATTGATACTCATCACATATTTATAGATTACAAAGCAGCCTACGACTCTGTGAATAGAAGAGAAATGTTCAAAGCCATGAAAGTGCTAGGAATATAAAATCAGTTGGTAAATTTAACAAAACTAACTCTTGAAAAAGTTGAATCTAGAGTACGAATTCGGGGAGAACTGTCTAAACATTTTAAAACAAATAACGAGCTGCGCCAGGGAGACCCTGTTATGACTGTTCAATCTGACTCTGAAAAAGTAATATGTATGTTACAAATCACGACTTACCTATGCTGATGATATCAACATTGTTAGGAGAACTGAAAATACTGTACGAGAGACGTGTATGTAGCATTAAAAGACTCAGCTGCAAAAATGGGTTTAGTAACAAACACCAACAAAACGAAATAAATGAAAATAAGCACGCAACTACAAATCCTATGACATATGATCTATACGACCTATGTGATATCAGGTTCACAATTCGAGAATATTACCTTGAGCGACTCCAGCCATAATTTAGTAAAGTATACTCATCGTGATGTTTTACAAGGTAACGGTGGTCTTGCAAGTAGGACCTTAGGATTTAGAAGTAATAGTTGGAAGGGATTTTTGATTTTGTATAAAAGGCCATTATTGCCTTTTTGTCAGATGTTTGAGAAATGTCTAAGGAGATTCTGGATCAATATTTTCTGTTTTCCAGTGATTGGTAAACCCGGTGAATTTGTTCAGTACTACGTACTGTAGCCTAAAACCAAACTGGTGATAAGTTATTATTTTGTCAATTAAAATTGGCTCTATTCTGGATAAAAAACAGCAGTTTTTTAAATATTTTAGACATACTAGGGAGCAAGCTAATAGGTCTGTAAGACTTTATTTCCTTTAAGGATTTTCCGGGTTTTGGAATTAATATTATTTGGAATAATTTCCAAACTAGAGGAAAATATCCGGTTCTTAATACGGCATTATACAGTTGTGTAAAACAAAGTAAAGCTTTTCTTGGTAATTCCTTTAAGATGCCTTCTTTACAGGATAGCTATATCGCTATATACTTTTATAACAGGTGGACACGGGGAATTCTGGAGTAGAGATCAAGTAACATTAAAGGAAGCACAATTAGATAACTCATAAGATAAGCTCATAAGTGATAAATTGACTACATTGGGGCAGTTGCAGTTAAAGACTGGATATATGAGATTCGCAATCGTAAACATAGTTCCGGTTAAAGAATGGATAAAATCGAACAAAGAAATAAAGACCTATATTCAAGAATATATGGACAAATGTTGACAACAATAGACAGAGAGAGAAAGAGAGAGAGAAAGAGAGAGAGAGAGAGAGAGAGAGAGCGAGAAAGCAACTGTTTCATCAGTCGTTGATTTCATAAAAATTGTTTATTTGTTTCGCTTTGACAGATATAAAGCTACAAGTACGTCAGAATGTATTACTTAATAGATAAAATCCCAAAAGAACTCTAAAAGAAATGACAAAAATTAAATGTCCCGATATTTCTGTCCAGCAGTGTATTTCCCAGAATTTTATAGCTTTTAATTTACAGGTGTTAAGAGAAAGATGTCTAAATATTATATTTTTTTTGCGGTAAATTAAGTTAATATTGTTTCTGATAAAAATAAATAGCTATTATATAGGAAAGAAGAAACACTTGTGAATTTAGTATAATATGAATATTCATATCAAAAAGTAAATAACGATATTAAATAAATCAAATATGTACATCTTCACATTGTTCTAGGCGACTTATCAATCAAAAGAGAAAAAACTGTTACGTCATTACACCATTTGTAAAATAGCTAGCATTCCATACAAAATATTTATATATTATATAATAGGTAGAGGGTAGATATGACAGAAACTTTTCTCAGCCGATTGACTACAATGAGAAGACAGTGTTACAGTCTGTTTTGCATCGAGATATGTTTCTGAGCGCTGCATTGAAGCAAAAGTTTGTTTTGAATCGATAAATGTGTGTATATCATGGATGGGAATAAAGTGATAGCTAAAGAAGAGATCCAAGGAATTTTTCCGACTGTATATAGTCAAAGTGAATTTCTTGAGGAGCTCTCTTTAACTGAAGAAACGTCGTGCGGGCTTTGGTTTGTAAAGGGAGCCTTCTTGCAGAAGTTCGCTAATAAGAAGGCCTATGTGTTTTTATACGGAGTGTTGGGATGCGCTTTTTCAGCGGCATATGCCTATTTTAATGGCACGATTACAACACTGGAAAAGAGATTTAAAATACCCAGCAGAACCACAGGTACACATGTTTTCATTTAGTGTAATTTGTGCATTTTCAAATACTTATTTACTTATTTATTTATTTACAGAGAAATTCATGTTTACAATAAAATATTAAATTTGACACTAACAACCAGTTTATAGCAGAATATAACAGCAAAAACTCAAAATTATTGCAATAATATAATAGTAAATTTAAACCCATATAAAAATCTGCGATCATAAACGAAGGTTTAGGTAATTTAATAATTAAATTGCAATGGCCAGGGGCTAATTCTTCTAGACCTTACACCCAGTGGTGGTCTTTTCATGCAACCCATCTCTCTAGTCTGAAATGTGTATGGTGTTTAAGTGTTGTGTTGCTCGGAAAAAACTATTTCTTGATTTTAGCCTTTAGATAGCTAATTGATTTTTATATAGTGTATATTCGGGCATGGTGGATGATGATCCTACCAGGTGGTAAATCCTATCTGCGAGAGCTAGTGGTCTAGTTCTAATGATTTTTGGTTTATCATAATATGTTTTTTTATAATTAGTTCTATAAAATACTATTATAAAAGTCTGATAATTACGAATATTTAATTCTGAGATTTGGAATGGTTTGAATGCAGTAGTGCAGAATTTTTTAGAGCGGCAGTCAACAGAGTCCGCATAGCCATGATGATTTCCAACATTCGATAGAAGATGGAACTTAAAGAAGAAGAATTCTGAGATACAGATGTCGATCTTTTGAGATTTTGGTCAAGGTCGCTTATTATTCTTTTGAGGAAAGGGGCGATAGGTATAGTTTTTGTTACAAACCTTGGTAACTTAACTTATTGTTGACAAATGTACTCGACTCTTAACATATTAATATGACACTGAGGATAGCACATTGGTGAAGCATGTTTAAGATACCTCCTAGCAAGTTTATAATACAGAGTTTTAATAGAACCTGTATTGTGAACATCACAGAAATTTCTCTTAATAAAACCTAGCATCTTTAAGGATTTATTTAAAATGGATGTGGTGTGGTTAGAATATGAGAGGTCAAAATTTCGAGTAATTACGAAGCCTTTACAGTTTACAATTCCCTGCACTTTACTAAATTCCTTTATACACAGACCAGAGTACAATATTTATCCAGATCATGTTGCAGGCCTAGGGAGTTCTTAGACTGATACACGGTATTAAACAATTTTAAATCATCTCCAAAAAGTAAAACCTGAATTAATATGAAGCAAGATACAATATAATTAAGGTAGATACTAAACAACAATTGATCAATATGCGAACCATGTGGTACCGCTGAAGTACTACGCTAACGCTTGCGTCTTCAAGAAAGAGACTGATAAAGCAATATCAGGACCTGCCTAAGAAAATAAAATCAAAACATTAAAACGAAAGATGGTTACTAAAAAATCGAAAGATCGAATGCTTTGTAAGAGACGACGTCTCTTTCTAAGCATTGAGGGTGACTTGAACAGGTATCGTTGATTATCGCAGACAAATCAAAGTCCTACAGGACAACCTCCAGCATATTATAACAGCTTTGCTGCCAACTTACTGTTTACTTACTAGCTTTAGATAAAAATTACGTATCAAACACTGCCGTTGACGAATTTGTGTTCTACAGTTTTAAATATGGTACAAATAAAGATCATAGAGGGAGAAAAAAAAACATCTATACATTATAGAAGTATATGTTCCACATTATGATGCCAAACAACCACTATCAAGGTAGAACAGCTAGTGAGAGATTGCAAGATAAATGGACGTCACTTGCGATTAGACACCTAACAAGAAGGGATAGATATACACGATACACGGGCTGATTAGTTAAGGAAAACTCAAGGAAAAAGATTAGTAGTGATAAGATAGCCTTCCTGGTTCAAGAATCTTTGCCAATGGCTCTACAAAATTCAAACGAAGACGAATCAATAAGAAAAAAAACTAGAATTTTATTTTCTCTGGAACATTCATTATTAGTACTTAAATAATTAGTTTAAGTCAGTTTTACTTACTTACTAGAATCTATTTTTTCTGGTATATCTTTTGAGCCGATGTTTCGTATAGTTATTTAAGTTGGTTGTGATGTTTATTTAAATGTTTTTGTTCATAACTTAGTTATTTGTCTTGATGTTAATCTTGGAATTTGGATCTTTTTGATAATAAAAAATTATAAATATATATAAATATATTAGTAGCTATAAAATTTTGCAGGCATTTGTTAAAATAAGTTTAATTTTTAAGACTCATACGATTTGCCAATAAAACTATCACTTATTTTTTATTACTAGGCATTATAACAATAGGGAATGATCTCAGCCAGCTGCTGGTATCAGCAATTCTAAGCTACTATGCAGGACGAGGCCACAGACCACGTTGGATGGCTTTGGGAATGTACACCGTTGTACTATTCTGCTTAATGTCAGCACTACCTCACTTTCTGTACGGCGCGGGTGACGATGCTCTCTCATTAACCTTAGAACATAAGGCATTTGCTAATACCTCACTATATTCGAACGAGCATACAATGGCGGCGATGCTTCAGCAACAGAGGAAACATTTATGTCAAGCAAAACGCCAAGGAGGTAAGGGTTGCAAGTTTGAAGAGGGCAATTCTTCTCCACAGCTTATTTTGTTTGCGGCCCAATTTATTTCCGGAATAGGTGGTTCCTTGTATCATACACTCGGTGTTTCTTATATGGACGACAACATCAAGAGGTCGAAAACACCGGCACTATTCAGTAAGTATATAAAATGTACTTTTAAATTTAGAAATAACTTTACATTTACAGTTTTCAATGTAAAATTAAAAACTTTAAAGTTCAACTTTATAGAGATAGGTAATTTCAGTAGCCCACCCCATTCCCTGCATAGGGATAAAGCTATCGATAATAATTTCTGTCGGTAAATAATATTCGAATTTTATTTAGTGTGTTTGTTTAATTTAGGTATATAATTTTTTTCTTTTTGATTTATACCTCGTTTTTCTGGATATAATTTTAAGAGGCTTTTTTGAGAACTATTGGATTTCAGAAAGCTGTGTTCACAATAGTTGCTGCATTCGCTAATGATGGAAGAAATACACATTCGAACGCGACTTATTTAACGAGAGATTTTTAGATTTTGTGCATCGATTCATCACTATTGATGAGACTTGGGTCTATCATCATGATCCTGAAACAAAACAAGAGGCCAAAGAGTGGTGTGAATCTGATTCTTCGGCTCCAAAACCAGTTGAGTTGAAACTTATATCAATATCTTGAAAAGAATGATGAACAGGAATGGAACAGTCGCCTTGTCCTATTCCTGTTTTTGGATTTAATTGTATTTGTGCTGCCTTTTTTATAGAGATTCCATTGTCTTTTTATTATTTTGTTTATTAAATATTTATTACAATATTTTTCATACGTATATTAATTAATTATTAGTATTATTACGGAAAAGGGGGAGAATAGTGGCCGCCTAAGCATTTTGGTTTATTTATACTGCTACACAGCTTTAAAAATTATACTGTTAACGTAAATAAAACTTCAAACCTTAGTACTTCAAACTCTATTTACGAAAAATTTTTAAACAGAACAAAAAAAAATTAAAACGGTTTTTCAGACTTCTGCTGGTGGTCATATTTACCTGCTGCCGAGGATACAGGGGCCACTGCCAATATTATCCCCCATTGAAATGATAATTAAATGCAAAAATCGCAAATGTTAAATTTGTCTTCGAAACTGATGCAGTATTTATGTGCCCATTGGCCACAAACGCTGCATTCTATCCAGAGTTATCTGTTTTTACCGAATTCGTCACAAATTGTGCAAATATCTTCGTTAATCTCCCTATCACGGTCATCGTCATCATCCTCATCTCCAGATGATATACCTTCTGTGATCTTCTGTGTTCTTATACAATTTCTTTTTGAAACTATTCGCGGAGAACTGGACTCTTCGATGCCTATTTTTCGTTTGGTTCCCTTTTGCTGGCTTTATTTCTCATTTGCTTTTCCTTCTTCCGCTGTTTTCCTTCTAGAAGTAACTTCATTGGTGTTGATGTCATTATTTCGGAATGTTGCTTCCTATTGCTTTTTTGGTTGAATCTTTCATTTCCAACTGAGTATCATTCTTTTTTTGAGCATCCTGGTAGTGGAATTATGTCAACAAAAGATACTTCATGTGTGCGGGGGTATGGTTAACATAATAATTCCTCGTTCTTTACAGAAATTATATGTCTCTAATGTACACTGGCTACTGTGATTGTCGACGATTAACAAAACTGGATCCTCCTTTGAAGGTTTTACGACACTAAAAATGCTGGAGCCATTCGAGAAATATTTGCTCAGTTTTGTGATCGAACTGTGTGATGTTATCTGGATTTGTTCATTTTTTATCTGCTTTTTTGATTCCTTTATATCTTCTACACTATATAGAGTGTGAGTGGCGATTTGATTAGTAATGTTACGATCTACGTAAAACGTCATCACCAATAAAGTTGTTTCTAAAGTACTCTATGTGACAGCATTATCATTGATTCAACAATAATTAGACATTTTGCCGTATCTCCACAATTTTCAAATATTGGTGAAGTCGCCGGATTATCATCTTAGCTACACTAAAATACTTTGACAAGATGTAGATAATAATTATTATCAAAAATGTAAGCTCAATTTGCAATCAACTATTTGCATGGTTTTTTCTTTTTCCAGGCATGTTACTTTTTAGAATGTAAGCCAAACTTTCTTTTGAAGTTCTGGCAAGATTCGATGAAATGTTCATTTTTACGGAATAACGCATTACCTTTTGGAAAACTATAAGTTTTATTTTGAAAAATACAAGTAGTTGTTACCAGCAAAAGTTTCTGTAAAAATGAAGAAGGAAATCTAGTGAGGAAGAAGGGGAAAGGATCAACAGATGAAAAGTAGTATTTTGAAAATATATTAAATAGTAATTAATTAATTGCATGAAAAACGCCTAATAAGCATAGCTATATACGCAAAACCAGAATTAAAAAAACTTAATATCTCGAATTAAAAAAAGCTAAGTATTCGTAACATCACAATGTAAAAACTGTAATAACTACAGAGGAATAGATTTAGTACAAAATTTGCGAGCCAATTATGGAACAAATATGGGAGAACAAAAGACTACGTAAGATATATCCCAAACAATAAGGTGGCTGGACCATGTGGAGAGAACGCATTACACGCGAATGCCGAAAATAGCATTAGGAATATGAATGGTAGGACCAAGAAGAGGAAGACCTAGAAGACAATAGATAACAAAAATAAAAGAAAATTTACGGAAGCGAAACGTTTGGAATTAGGACGTTAAGGCACAAATAAACAAAACTAAAATGAAATTTTCAACCATCCCTATGTTGGTTACAAAAAAAGTAACATTTAATTGCAAATTTCTAGGTTGTATTATTAGTTAAAATGATCCAAGATGATATAAAAAAAATTTAACTATGAGAATATAAACAAGAAGGAAAAAAATATAAATAGATACAATTAGATGATAACGATAGATGCGAGAAAACTGCAGATTTAAACATAGAAAACTAGCATATTTCTTACCAGAATATATATAAAAAAAAGTAAGTCTGGTAGAAGACGAATTTATCCAGAATATTTGTTGCATAGCAGGGGACTATTCACTGAGTTCATCACTCATACTTTACTTCTAGCCCGGTATGGTTAAAAAAAGGTCGAAAAATTTTTTGTGTATAAGTTTTTTTCCTTATATTTTACATAAACAATATTTATATAATTTTTTTATATCAAGAATATCTTTATTTTTGAAATTAAAATTGATAAATAATTTACGGAGATATTTGCAAAAAAGCAAATTTTTGCACTAATTTATAAATTGTATTAATTTTTTTAGTTTTTTTACCAGCTATCCAATGGTTGTACGTACAAGTCTGTAGCTTGAAAAATATAGAAGTTATTACAATTGTTTATAAGTAAAAAACATGCCCCTTTTTTAAATGTTCATTTTATAGATAATTTCAATGTAAAATATATGGGAAAAACTTATAGACAAAAAATCAAATTGTGACCATAAATTATTATTAAAAAAAAGCAGGGAAAAAAATACTTTTTCATCTATTCGTCATCTAGTAACCCCCCACCTATGTCTTAAAAGCTGCAGATATCTGAGAAAAATTTTGCCGTGAAATCGATGATTTTTGCATAACCAGACTTGACTATTCATGGATTTTGTGTAAACTGCCAAAAAATACATATAATCGTCACTATATTTATTTCTTTCTTTAAGGCTTTACTTATTTTATAAGAATGTTAGGACCTGCTCTTGGTTACGCTTTAGCCTCCTTATGCCTAAAGATTTACGTCAACCCAAACCTTACACCTACTATAGACAATCAAGATCCTCGGTGGCTAGGTGCTTGGTGGCTGGGATGGATCATCTTGGCAATCGTAATATTCTTTCTTTCCACTTTACTTGCTTTGTTTCCTAAAACTTTGCCAAGAGCAGCCGTGAGGAAGGAACTGCTGAAGCGACAAATGTCTAGACAACCGTCCAAAGCATCCTCGATGAAAGCCGAAGAGGATAGTGACCTTCCAAGATCTTTTAAAGGTAAGTGAGTCATTGTTTGTTGATTTAAAGATATTTTGGTTTTATTCGTTAGACTTTAGAATATTGATGACTTTTTCGAAATGCTACAACAAAAAACCACAAATAGCAAATAAATAAATATTGCTTTATAGTCCTATATATTATTCTTTATAAAGAAATAGTGCCGTAGTTTCCCTTTACTTCCTACACCAAAGTAGAAACACCAGTTATATCAATCAATATTGCGCCATTTGTTGTCTGTTTGATAACCATGTCACTGAAGAAATTTTATGCTAAAATAAACCTCATTTTTGTAGATATGATTAAAACCTTCAAAAGAGTCATGCACAACCGAACCTTGATGATGAACAACTTTGCAGCAGTATTCTATTTTCTCGGATACATGCCTTACTGGATCTTCCTCCCGAAGTACATAGAAACTCAGTACAGACAATCTGCTTCAGCTTCGAGTTTAATTACTGGAAGCATGGGACTGGTTTTTTCAGCCGTTGGCATTCTTTTGTCTGGTATAGTCATCTCGAAGTACAAGCCAAAGGCTAGAAGTCTAGCAGCGTGGAATGTGCTCGTAGGCCTGATATCTGTAAGCGGGATAATTTCGTATGCGTATTTGGGCTGCAGCGAGATGGACAATAAGATCCCTTTATTACCAAATGGAGAGTAAGTAAATTTTTCCTTTTTGTTTTTTAAACTAATTACTAATTTAAAAAAAATAAACAGTTACTTTTTAAAAACTGTTTTTCCAAATATATCAAAAATTTAGTGACACGTGTTCAAAGGATATTTGATAAATATAAAGATTTGTGACTTAATAATTAAATAATAATTGTTTAAGCGCAATTTTTTCTGTATAAAATTAACTTCGTTCTATGTGGTTTAAACAATTCTAGGTTGGACCCCATATCAAAGTGCAACTCTGCTTGTCAGTGCGAAACATATCAAATACAACCCAGTGTGTTCGGAAAACGGCGTGACTTATATATCCGCGTGTCATGCAGGTTGCCGGGATGTCATCAACGTAAATGGGTCGAACGTATTTTCCGATTGTTCGTGTATTAGAAGAGATGAAACGCACAGTTATAAAGAGATGACAAAAATCGAAGAGACAAGTCAATTTGAGAAAGCATTGGACGATATTTCGAAAAATAGCGGCTTCGCCTCTCCGGGAAGCTGTCAGGTAGATTGTCTATTCCAGTTCTATATCTTTCTTGCCGTAGATCTGTCTGCTAAAGTTCAGTGGAGCTACAGGAAGAGCTTCCAATTTTCTAGTTACTGTCAGGTAAGGAATATTGTTTGAGTATAGTTTGTTTTATCTGGTTGTTATTTCAAATCTTTTCATTTTCATAAACATAATATAAAAAATTACAAAATATTTAAATGAACTTAGATATATAAAAACGTTTATTAACGTTTATTAAACAAAACCTTTTTAGTTTTTTTTTAACCTCGATAAAAATTACAATAAAAAACATAATGTTATATAAAAATAGAAATATCTTTTTATAAAGCTTGGTGAAAAAAGTAATTTAAAAATTATAATGTTCGTTAAGAGATTTTTTTTTTTTAAGAATATATGTATATCAATAACAAATATAATAAATTTCTAATTCTTCCTTCTTATACCTATATAGCCTCCTAAAGTCTGTTTCTTCTTCAAATTAGCCTTCTCATAAAAATTGAAATGTATTAGTCACATTATAAGAAATAGTTAAAGATCTTCTTCTTCTTGCAGATTTTTCAGCCAGGAAATTCTTCGCCTTCCTGGTCCTCGTTTTTCTTCTACTTTTCCTTGAATAATTAATTGCAGCAACCCATACCTTTCGCTATTCCTCATGATGTGACCGTGCTGTTTTTATTGTGGTTAACAACTCTTTTCCTCTTTGCATTCTTACTTTCGAAACTCTCTATTTTCTTATAGGTTGCGTCTGTGAGAGTCCACGACTCAACTCCATACAATAATATAGGAAAGATATAACATCGTAGTAACCTGATTTTTATGGTCACTGATAAAACGTGGCATTTGAATAGCTTAACCATTTTTTGAAAGGGAGATTTTATTGCTAGGGAATAGTCTTAATTTTAATTGACGTTCGTAAAAAGGTAGGTGTATGTTTTTACTTTTTCTATTGGTTGACCATTCACACTGATTCTTTCAATTTGCTGTTCCTTCTTAGAGATCAGCATACATTTTGTTTTCTTAATGTTCAGTGAAAGTGAATGTCTTCATAACTGTCAGCGAATACCACCATGTCATATTCGACATAGATATCGTAATTCATATCTCTACATCGTTGAAATAACACTTGTATGCTAAACAGAGCCTCTCTCGTACCCACTGCGTTCCAAAAACCAACTTGTGTACGGCTGATTTTTTCTTCGCCTAGATTTATATGTACATATATGATTTGATGTATGATTTTTAGAAATAACTTTAAAATGTGGCTCATTAAGCTGATGGAGCAGAAATCATTGCAGGATACAGATTTTGCTTTCTTTGATAGAGCAATAAACGTTGACTTCAGCCATGATCTTGGTATTATTCCGTTTAAATATATGCCATTGAATATTTTTGTTAGTCGTTGAGTACCGTCGGTCTTAAATAGCTTTATGAGTTCAGCATATGCATTGTCAGGTCTAGAAGCTTGGCCATCTTTTAGTTGTGATATTGTTTTTCCACTTCATCTGATGTGATTAGTAAGTGGTCATTACATATTATGTAGGACGGAGGTTGTTCGGACCTATTATCAACAAAGAGTTCATGTATGTATTTGGCCCATATGCATATTTCTTTGATTTTTACCTGTGATGATGTTCTCCTATTGATCTTGTAGTTTGTTAGCTGTGTTGGATTTTTGAAGACCAGCTGCTGGTTTTACCTTTTTATGTATATTAAATGTATCGTGTTTTTGTTCCACAACAACTTCTATCTCTTCGCATTGTGGTTTTAACTAATTTTCTTTGGCCTTTCGTATTTTGGTTCTTATTTTTCTTTTATTTTTTTATTTTCTTCATTCTTCTATGAGTTGCAGTATACTGTCATTCAGCCAACTTTTTTCTTCTCTTCATTTTCTGTTCTTCTTGATGTTCTTCTCTGATCTTGTTAAAGGTTTCAACATATAATCTGGAGTGATTCTTCTGGATCGTATGTTTGCTCCATGGTACTTAGCTTTTCTGAAAGAATTCGTGCGACGGTCTCCTTGTTTATTTATCTCTTAGTCCTCTCATGTCACATTTTTTGTTACTTTCTTTATGTAACCTTTTTAAATCTAAACTAAATTTACCAATAACATGAATATCATCTGAGGATAGGTCAGCACTGGAGTAACTTTAACACAGAATTACAGAATATCTTGTTCGCCATTATGTAATCAATTTGATTTTTTATTATGATTCCTGGTTGACCTTGTGGAGAGACCCAAGTATGCAAATGTCTTGGTGGTAGTTTGAAGAACGTATTTAGTATTGCAAATTCTTCTTCCTCTACAAATAGTTTTAATCTTTCTTCCCTTTCATTTCTCTTCCCTAGACCAAAATCACCAATGAATTCACCACTTAATTAAAGATGGTCTGCTTGAATGAATGGATAGAATAGATTAATAAATAGAATATTTCTTGTAACAAGATTTTTAAAATTACCATTACATAGGTATGGATTTAAATATCACTTTAACATTCTATCTCTTCCTCTCTCTAGCTCCCTCACAAACACACCACACCACACACACAAACCTACACACACACAGACACACACACACACACACACACACACACACACACACACACACACACACACACACACACACATACTCACACACACACACACACACACACACCACACACACACACACAACATACTCACACACACACATACTCACACACACACATACTCACACACACACATACTCACACACACACATACTCACACACACACAATACTCACATCACTAAATTCTTCGATATTTTAGATGCGTTGAAGAAAAAAAGATAAGGCTGTTGCCATGGGCTTTGGATTGATGTTAATGAGCCTATGTGCCTTTGTTTCCATCTCCTATACTCTTCGGTTTTATTTTAGGTAAGTACTTACTTATTTTGCTTTAAAATTAATGATAATAAAATTGAAATATGGGTGAGCACTGATGTGAAAAATAGTTTTATTATATATAAGGGAAAATGGGGAAATAATGTCGCAGTGAAGTAATCATGTGCTCTAAAATTGCAAGAACTCTTCTATTTTTTCTGATTCAAAAATTATAATGGTAAGCCCGTATGCTTTATTTAGTTGCTTTGATCGAATAATCAGTTGTTGATCTAAATCATATTGTTTTTCATACATTTTGATGCATCTGTTGGTTGATATGTCTCAGTAGTTTTCCATTTGTAATGTCCTTTGCTATTTTAAGGCGTAAATGGGTTAATAGTGCGCAAGAGTGCGGCACTATTACCCCTTTTCACAGCTATTGCTTACTAAAACTGTAATTAGCAAATCTACTGTAAGTGCCTTTAATTTTGGATCTTTCTTTTTGAACCACTTTAAGTCCGATTTTTTGGTGGATAAAACATCCACCTTGTCTTTGTTATTTTTTACTTCTGTCTCTAAGTCACTATCAAATTAGTAGATGTAGATTTTTTTCTTCTCCTAGTACCAATCTCTTCCGCAGAAAAAATTGGACCTAAAACCGAATTTTCGAAATCTTCATCACCGTTGCCTGGAAAATCGAAAGTTAAATGAATTTGTGATGATATTCAAGTTTGTTTGATGGTAAACAATATTCGAGCTTGAGCTAGAAGCAATATTTGTACTTAGATTCGATTACTATTAGTAAGCCAAAGAGTGTACAAGTGTATACTGCTCTTTACATCAAAATCGCCTTAATAGTGTGAGAGGTGATAATTACCACCATAGGTATCATCAGGGCTTTATTTACGAAATTTTTCCAGTTGTTCTGCAGTGTGAAGCGGTTATCATCGTCTTTTATTATTTTCGCTTACTGGATCTTGATAGGCTTAGTAACGCTTATGTCACCAGTAGGTGTGTCCGCTGTGTATATGGTGTACAAATAAGGCGACAGTACTGCTCCCTGCGGCAACACCTACTTCCAGGGTTCCGAAACTCTGCATCTCGTGTTCGCTTGGTACGACGCAAGAAGACATGTTATTTCTTCACGGTAACCATATTCACTTACAGCAGCATTCCTTCGTGCCAAACTCGTGCCTAATAACCTTACTGACATCGATAAAGGCGGTTGCTGTGTACATTTTTTCATTGAATTCCTACGTTATATATTCGGTTAGCAGCAGTACCTGTAGCTAACAGGAATGTTCTGATTTATAACCTTTCTTTCTTAACTTATTTATCTATCCTCTTTATATTTTTGTGTTTCAGATAAAGCATGCCTTGTTTGGGGGAGAACTTTGTTCCGGTACAGGAAACTGTTGGTTGGTATAACGGCGCGGACTTAAGATCAACCATGAATTTCACAGCCGCTTACCTTCGTCTTCATTGGTGCCTTGTTCGATCTAGGCGTCTGGTATTTTGTAAAGGATGTTGAAATATTCGAAGAAGATGTAGAACTTGAGGATGTGATTGAGTTTAAATAATAGTTTTTTATATTAAATTAGATAATTTTTATAAACTACAAATAAAATATCAAACAAATAGTTCTTATTCTATTTTGTACAAGTATTTTACTAAAAATAATGTAGAGAAAAATGATATATGTTGATAACCTGCCTATCAGACTTTTTGTATTACTAATTAAAGCAGTTCTTAAAATATAACAAAATTCAAGTAAATTAAATGAATTAATGCATCCAAAGATACAATATGTATGTAGGTTTTGCTATATGTGGCCGACAAATGCCTTTCTTTCATTATTTTATGAAGGTTACTATCGGAATTTGAACCCTTAAAAGGCTTAGTTACTCAGGGCTAGGAGTAGGAGTGATTTGTGTAGACTGTATGGGGCAATTATAGATGTGACAATCATTAAGGTTGC